ACAGAATATCTTTTCTATCTGGTCCCCAACCAAGAAGTTAACATCTGGAGTTGAATTCTGTTATTTTCTCCTGACCTTATGAAAAAGAGATACATCTCCAAGGCCACCCTAATGACATCAGGATTACCAACAGGATTAACACGTGACTGGAAAACCTAGCATACCTTTACTATGTACAGAGAAGCAGGATTCCAACAGCACCAGCAACAAACAGATAAGAGACTTCTGTACCCAGACCAAAAAAGTGTTATTAGGATGTCTCATTAAGACACTGATTTTCAGATAATATAGTTACTACATAATTCATATTAAGGGACTTCTAACTTCATTAGTTTGGACATTATGAACATACTAAGCAGCTCCAAAGAATATTTCTCTGATTTTAATTAACCAGAAAAAACTTCCTGTTTGCCCTTCTCCATGCCACATACTATAGAAAAAAAGTTACAGAAAAATAAATGCTACTTTGCTGAAAAACTAATTTCTCACTGCGAATTTTCAAAGCAAATTTAATTTTTAATAGTTTCTGAATTCTTTATCTTTGGAGCGTTTTAAATTTTGCCCTCTTCTTTGAACTTTTCATTTTGTTCATTAAGCTTATATTTTAAATGGCAGTTCTTGACCTCAGCTCTGGAAAATACAAGGGATCTGTTAGTTAATCTCAAAGGAATCCACTTTCTGCTGTGTTTTCATTAGGCACAGACAGAAGTTCTAGTGGTTAATGTAGCTCCCCAAACTGCAGTTAACAAATGATTTGTGTACGAGTATCTATCTCATTTTTTCCGTTGTCATCTTGACATGAAACAGGCAAAGTTTCCCCTTTGAAAACTCTGGATTTTTTTTTTTTTTATACCATATGACCCTCCCTTCTCCTGCACAGCTTTCTTTTTGAGTATGGAAAACAATGGGACTGAGCTTTTTTTTCCAGAGACAGCTGTTTTAAAAGAAACAGTCCACTGAGACGTTTCCAGAAAGTGATTGTGGACCTGGAAACTTTACAAAAGTTTTTCATGTCCAGCAAAGGCATGTTTAAAACTTTAACTCAAGGAATCCACTTTAATCACTTCAAGATGGTGATATCATTTGATGTTACAAAATAAAAGAACTGGGCTACAAAATCTTTGGAACTCTGCACCACAGAAAAGTCATCCACAATGAAAACCATGCGGTTTCGGTAGATGGCACTCTTCTCTGTGAATGACAACTCAGGGTCTGGCATGGGACTCTGGGTGTGGAACTGAGCCTTTTCTGAGGAGCTATCTTTTAATCTCACTTCTACTTTTAGAAAAGGTACAGCCAATGGCTCTCGATTTTAAAAAATAAGCCTATAGATAAGACATCAATCCAGGAATCTTAACTAGTGAAAAGGCACATAATTGTGCTCTTTCCTTCTTTCCCAGAATTGTTCCAATGATTTTGCTGGCTCTTACAATACTGAGATGTTTAATTCCAGAATTTAATCACAGCATCTGTTTACCTATAGGCTTTTAGCTCCCCTGATGTTGAATACTCTGGAGGTGTTAAGGAAATGCAAGGTATCATAAATGAAAAGCATAAATTTTTGTATTAATATTTTACTTACTGAGAATTAATATTACTACAAAACTGAAGATAATTTCTGGCTAAATCATAAGTGAGCCTTTTATTTAAAAATAGATTTACAAATTCAAAGTTGAGTGCTTAACAGAAAAAAGAAATGCTACCTTATTTTTCACCTTTACAAATGCATTAGCTCATATATTTCCTAGGAAAATATATAAGTTTTTAGTATGTCCTTTCAATGACAAACTGTTACAAAAATAAGAAAATACATATACTCATAATTTAATGTATATTTTATTTCCTCTGCTTACCTAAATTTTGGTTCTCATCTTAACTCTGCCATTTCCTACTTGTGTAATCTCAACTAAAGCAGTGAATCCATGTTAGATGTCAGACTGAAATATGTGGGCAATTATGCAGTCTCTCATCTTAAAAATGCAATTATTTCTACTGATTTTATGCTATTTTTTTCAATTAATTAGATATGTTTAGTTTTAGGGGCAATACAAACCAGAAAATTTGAATGCTACTTAATCTGTTACAAATTCTCTTTTTAAGCATAAAGGAAAATAGACTCTCATAACCTGTAATAAGGAACTGATTCTCTGAGTCCACTTACAGTTTTGTAATTTTAAAATAATTAAAGGCCCACAGTTCATTGTCACAGTGGAATTATCAAAATAGCAAAGTATAAGCTTAAATATTGAGATACTTTTAATTTAAGTAAAATTTATCTCCCTGCCCTAATGAAGCAATATTATTTAGTAATATCTGTCGTTTATCTATCTCGTAAGTGATACTAAAAATACTTATGTCAAATAAGAACTACATCAGAAACTTGAAAAATATTCAAAAAAGTCGTTACATAGTTACATGTGGAATTTTGAAAATAGCCATAATATCAAGCTGATTGCCATATAGTCTTTAAATATTGTTACCATTGTGTGTGAGTATGTGTATTTGGCAATATTTTATCAGTAATATACTTATTTCCTTGGGAAGTATTGTTTAATATTTAAAATTCATACATGAATACTTTTCAATCTCATTAAAAATGCGGAATCCAGCTGTGTCACATTTATGTTGGCATTAGTTATGTAACTCTGCCTGTCAGCCACTAGGCGGTGAGTCTTTGTGCTTAAAATCTGGCATGTTTATAAACTACAGGAAATATAAAACAGACCACATTTCTCCATTGGTGGAATAAAATACATGAATTAAATAGAACTTTCACAGATTTGTAAAAAGATCAAAATTCTTTGTGAGGATATGTTTCATGTTCCAGAAAATTCATGTGAGTATACTCAAAGTTGGTGTTCAGAAGAGCTGTGCTGTTTTTCTCTGGGGTTCTCAGGGCATGTATAAGAAATCCCCACCCCAGAACTACATAAGATTGTTCTCAACATGCTGTATATTTAGCCACCTCCTGTAACCTCCCCTAAGCTACTCCACCAGCAGAATTTTTTTTGTAAATCCTACAGGGAACATAAGATGTCCTATTGTAAAATACCTAAGCTTTGTTTTTCATGACAAACAAAAACAGTAAGCTGAACAAAATTCCTTTCAACTTCTTTTGAACTTAAAAGCACACAATATATCATAGCTCTTTATTATTTCCACAGCTATTTATTATTTTCTATAGCTAAAGAGAAAAGGGAAAATAAAAAGAATTCATGTGATATAAAGATAATGTAGGCATCAAACATTTTTGTTTTTCTCAAGTTAGAAGAAAAATAGTCACAATGCTTCTAAAAGATTGTAACCACCAGGCAATTACAAATATTTTGTCAATCTTTGAACTAAATACCAAAGGTTTGTAGTGATTTCAATAAATGGGGACTGTGATTTTTTTTTCAGAAATCAGCAGAATTTAAGAGGTGGGGGTAGGGTTATAGTGATTTGGTATTCTGGCCAAGGATTGGGGGTTGTAGCATCTTCTTGGGAGGGACAGAATGGGGAGGCAATATGGAGAGAAATGAGAGACTGAAATGGAGGACTGAAGATTCTTAGGACAAAAAGGGGGAGGAAGCAAAAGGAGAGAGGAGAGAAGAGATGGAGGCTCAGGGAGGACAAATAATGATGGGGGGCGGGGATAGAGGAAGGGAAGAGGGGGGAGGAGAGATGAGGAGAGATGGGCTTGCTTAGGAAGGGGGTAGGGTGATGAGTGAAAGACTGAAAAGGGGGAGGAGATGAAAAAGAGCCAAAAGGGGTGGAGAGATCAGGAGGGGAAAGGAGGAGAGGAATAAGGGGGAGAGGAAATGAAGGAAACAAGGAATATGGGTGTTTCTTTTCTTTTGTGGCCACTATATAACTGAAAAAATGTCATTGGGTGTTTCCTCCCTACTTACATATGTGACCTGTGAGGACATCAAAGATATTTTTTTCCAAAAGAACAAAGAAAACCATTTCAGACATCATGTTTCCAAAAACTACTGGTTTAAATGTAGACATTTTTGATTATGTGCAAATAGAAACTGATTGTATTGATTTCTACTAGCACCTTCAAATTTAACATTTAAATACTTATTTTATGAAAGTTTGTTTTCCAATTTGTCCAGTATTTTCATGACTAAGAGAAACGTCTGAATTAAAAGAAATAATTTTACATAATCAAATAATAAGGTAATTATCATTTTGGGGGAATAAGAACATAAAACCCATTGTTTGCACTTAATAGAAAAATCTAACAAATTAAGTTTTTTGAAGTCAAATAGTACTATTATCTTTACCTTGTTTGCAGAAACATTCCTGTTGAAGATTTTTTTAAACTATTCTCTTTATTTATAGAACATATGTAAAACACTAGACCCTTAAAAACAAACTATTAGAAAATATGTATTAGTCAACCATGTAAGTGCTTGAAACAGAATAAAGACAGGATCCATGAAACATTTTGAACAGTTTGAATCCATTTAAAGGGTTGCAGATACTATTTTGTTGCCATTTTATAGAAATCTATTCAGTAATTCTAATAATGTGTAGTATTTTCCTTTAGCATGTTCATAATGCATGCTATTTTAAAAATGCATTATCTTGTTGGGAAAACAATGTGCGATATTCTATTCTTACAAAGAATTCAGCATACAGAGGAAAGAATAAAGGTATTACAAGAGACCAATAACTTCCAGATTGCCTAGGGAAGCATTCCAAGATGTTAACAATCCAGGAGGGGAACTTTTTAAAGCCATTTTAAAGGTTTCCAGTGCCGTTAACATGAAAACAAGTTAATACAAGAACATCTTTCTCTTAAACAACCAGAGAACTTTTAAACACAAAAATGACAATATTCTTTCTAAGCAAAAGCGAAAAAGCACCATCATGGTCAGTTAGTTCTAGCTTCACAATTGGGAGTTTTCACAGGAGATTATCTTTTAGGAGACTGATTTCCCCTTTATACCTATTTGCAAGAAGTAAAGACAAAAGCCCCATAAAGTTTCTTGAAATCAGTGCCTACTCACCTTCTGGGAGCTGTTGTGCCAAAATAACAGTGGGATGAAGCAGAGCAAGAAGTAACCAGGTCCCCTTTTGCACAAAGCTCATCATGTCTAAATATCAGACATGAGACTCTTTGTGCAAAAAAGGAGAAAAGAAAAGCAATTCAAAGTAGCACCATCAGTTGTTCCCTGCCCTTCAGCACCGGGCCCGTCATAAAACTCAGCCACTGAGATTCTTTTGCTTTGGCCTTAAATAGGAAAAAGTTTGGCTTCCCTCGCTTTCCAGCCCCTTTCTGAAATATGAGAGCAGCACCCATCCCCTTAGCAGTAAAAGAAATGATTAATATGTCTTTTTCCCTTATAGAAGACACAACCCACAAAGTAAGAAAAAGAGCACATCTGGAGCTTGTGTGCATCTGTTTATGTATCACTTTGTTGCATATTTGGTCACATATATGTTTGTATAACTTAAGAATATGTATCAAAAAGCTTTGCTTTGTGTTTTAATAAAAGGATTAAATGTATGGTTTTTTTTATTATTTCTCCTGATAACATTAACAGCTGCATAATTTTGGGAAAGTGCTTGATGTCTTCTGCTTGGGCATGGCTAATTTGCAGACCTTATCTTCCTAGAAGTGTTTGATATTGGGATTTTGCCAGATTCTTCTCTAACTCAATTTAAAGAGGGAACTGTAAAAGATTAGCTGAAAGAAAAGCCTGTTTGTGCCTTCTACTCATCCACCCACCCTGGGTCCTGGAAGTTTAATTTCAGACAAATGTCAAAAGATTAAGCATCTGAGCTATGTTTGAATGGCATCTTAAAAGTCAGATACTTATCTATAGTTGTTTCTATTTCTCATAAATTTCTTTAGCCGACCAAAGAGTGATTCCTTGTGAGATTTCAACTTTTTATGCTGCTTATGAAAGCCAGAACAGATTTTTCTAGAGAAAAATTTAGCCTTTTCATGTCTTGATTTTTTTAAGAAACAGGAAAAGAGCTGATCACATGGAATATCAAAAAAGTACCAGAAAAAGTTCTCATTTCATTTGAATTGGTGTAAAGATTAGCATAAACATTTCCAAATTTAGACTTCCATGTGTATAAGTTTCAGGTCACATTAACACAGCTTTTCAATGTATTTCTGGATCTAAGGAGTAATTTCTGGGAGATATTTGCAATAGGGGCATATACCATTTATAGGTCTTTAATAAAGCTTTGCAAGAAAAATATGCTTGTGCACATTGTCAAGATATTTCTAATAATCAAGGTATTTCTTCATGTCCTAATCATCAGTCCATAATTCTTATCCATCTCTATATTCTACACTCGTTTTTCAATTCTAATCACGATCACCTGCAATTTATCCATGTTAACTTAACCACGCCCACCTCCATTCATATATGTGCACATAGAATTCTCCCCACCTCACAACAACTCGTGGAAGTCGCTTCTTTAAGACCCAGTTCAAAACTTTTTTCTTTAAACTTTTTCCATCTTTCTCTTTTTCCCAATTCATGTTACTTAACTTTTACTCAATTCATATATTATATGTATATTCCCCGGTGTATATATATTCTATAAGCATGGACAGTGGAACACTTACTTCTCTCCAAGCCTAGTTAAAAAAACCACAAAGATGTCCCAATGTAGATGACATCACCTGATGACAGGGAAAGAGAACTAGTTGGACCAATCTCTTGTGCATCTTCTGATTTTAGATTGGGGAGTCACTTCTTAAAGGGAAAAAAAAGTAACTATTGAATGGTCATGAAAATAAGCTTTTTTTCTGTATTATAGTGGAGATATTGGGGGAAAAGACTGTTACATATCTTTTTATCTTCCAATCATATTCATCCTATACTTAAAAAAAATTCCCTTGTGTTCAAACCAATTCAAACACATGATTTTATTTTTCTCCTGTGTCTTTGACACTTGCCTAAAAATTCATATATCGATATTTATTATTTTATTGTTTTACATGGTCAATAAAGTCAAAATTTATTGAATTTCTTCATTAGAATTAATTTCTATTGTGAAAAATTAGATATATTATTTTCTTAAATAATGCTTTTTATGCTTTATTTCAGGCACTACATGTACAATTTCTATTGCATTTCTGGTTTGTCCTAAAATTCTTATCTGATTAGCTATTCAAATAAAAATGTTATGCTTAGGAGAAAAATTTGTGATTCATGCATTCATTTAACAAAAGTTAGCTAGTAGTTTGTGTAGTAAAGTATTGTTGTATCTTAAGGTATCCATGAGGGATTCAGAGATAAGAAATCTCATACTCTGGATTTTCTGATTTAGCATTCTTCACCACCTTGAGCATATTTGGAAGTCCTGTACATAGATCCTTTGCATTCTGTGTCCCAGATCCTAGTCCTCCTCCTCATGCCAATGTGTTTTCTAATACAGTGTCTAATGGGTGTGGATTTGAGCTGGTGTCATGACTGGGTGACATATACACACGGATGAAATCTATTATACAGTCCAAGAGCTGATGTCCTCCTAGTAATCTATGCACACGTTTCTTATTTCTATACATCCCTGACTTCACTGATATTAACCAGCTCACATAGACATTCCATGTTGTGTCTGGATTGCATTCAGAGTTTTAACAAATCTAAACATCTACACCAGCTAAAGCACTGATTAATCTGGCTCTCCTTTCACAAAGAGAATGACTGGAAAGATGAGGCAAAGCAAGGGTGTGGCAAATTATCAACCAAAAATTCAAATCCTTTCCAGTTCAGTGGAAAACGAAGCTTGGGAAGAGATGCATAAGCACAGCTGTGATGAACTCAGTAGGCCAGTGAATGTCAGCAGTGCTCTCTACAATAGCAATAAGAAAATCAATTATCTCCATCATGAAAAACACATGGAAGAGAAGTCTCCTCTCTCTCCTCCTCTCTCTCTCCAGTCCTACTGCTTCTTGTGTGTGTGTGTGTGTGTGTGTGTGTGTGTGTGTGTTTTAAGCCAAGGAGATACATTATTTTTATGGATATTTTCTATATGCTTTCAAATCACTGTAAGCCCCTTTAAAATGTATATGTCATAAAGATTCACTTAAAATAGATTGAATCCATAGAAGGATTGCAGCTTAAAATAGGATAACATACACTTGTAAAATACAATGCAAATTTTCTTTGCTATTCCTAGAGAGGTAGATCAGTTTACTTTGTTTACATGGGTGAAACCACATTTGGAGAGTTGAAATCCCTTTGAAGGAATCTGAACAAATACTAATATGTGTGTAGTAGAGCCAGAAATATGATTGAAAAATATATTGTAGCTGAAAGACTTCGCATATCTAACCATAGATATTCAAGTCTGAGGCAGTGACAATGGTAATGGGACATGATAGGCATATATTTGAGTGATTACAACGACAAATTCTTTAAGACCTTTTCTTTAATTTCCTTTTAGTTTCCAAGGTAGAGTTAATTGTCCCCTTAATTTTGTTCCTATAGAAGTATATTGATAACCACTTCTCTTTAGCCTACAAATTTTACTTTTGGACAAGACTCACATTTCCTTGATATTTAGTAAAATGAAGTGTGATACAACATAACAACACAATTATTTTGGAAACATGAAATATCTCTATTCCTCTCTCTCTCTTTCTCTCTCCCTCTCTCCCTCTCTCTCTGTGTTTATATGTGTGTGTGTGTATATATATATAATACACCCTTTGCTGTTAAGCCTTGTATTTTTCAGCTGCAAATTACCCTAAGATTGAACAGAAAGTTCAAGGTTACATGACTTTCAAAATTACTCATTGGAATTGGAACTAAATAGCTCACTTTCCAGAATTTTTTCACCATATTTCCCACTTAGACTAGTCACTGATCGTGATAACAATATTTTTATACAATTTAGGAATTGGGTGAATACAAATTTGGCACTTAATTTTTTTTTTCTAATGGGAGATTGTAATAGGATAGAAGAGAAGGGATAAAGTTGTAGAATTAATGGCCAATTAGAAAAAAATAGTATTCTTCTGATTTTTGGCGTATCATTAATCTTTAGATAATTTCCAGTATTGCTGTAATTAAAATATATTTGAGTCAATACTCATTAATTTATACTGAATGATGGAGTCCAGTCTTAGAACATGCAAGAGAATTTACATATGTGTTTGTGTGTTTATATGTGTATCTGTTTGTATATTTATATACATATATAAATATATATACACATACAAAGATTGACCAAAACTTGAGCAAGTAAAATTTTCTGGAACCTGCCTTAATGCACATGTTTGAATTTTGAAAGTGTCTGAAGGATTATAATTATGTCCTCCTGAATAAAGTCTTTATGCACTCATGTTTCAGTGATGATTTTTTACCATCATAATTATTATTGTAATTATATTTGAAAATTCATAGAAAGTTGCAATTTATCTCATTACCTAACACATTGACTCATCCCAGAACAGTGTGATTACTTTATAAATTTTGCCAGAAAGGTGACACAGAGCCTGGGATCCATTTTGTAGGGGTTCAGGAGGTCCCTGTTGGGTCTTCAGTTAACAATCATTCTCAGGGTTGAAGCTCCACTCTGTAAATCCCACTAGAATCTATATCAAATGCAATTTGTCATCTGAGTCATACTTAGGAATTTTCAGCGGTATCCAACACAGCTGCAATAACTTTTCAAATCTAGCCAATTCTGTCTGAAGATAAAAAGAAGGCCCAAATCACAATCTTCTGATAGAAGCATGAGATAAGCCAAAGCCAAGCAATGGATTTGCATGCTTCAAATGGAGACTGATTTTAATTCCTATCAATATTTTTAATATTCCTCTACTCAATGGGAGCCCAGAATTATTTTAATAATTTAGATAATAATTATTTTTTATTATTATTTTAATAATAATTAGAGATTTAGAAACTTCTGCCTGTCTTCCCCAAAATAAACAGAAGTAAATGTGGCCTTTCCATGTTTAACTTATGACAACTACTACGCTATGCAACTGACCCTCCTTCAGGTCAGCATTATTACTCATGTAAAAAAATATTTTGCTGAATTGTCTGAAGTCTTTATATTTGTTTATATGTTAAATCATGTTTAGATGAGCTTTATACTGAGGTATGCTATTGGTCTATGGAATAATACCAACAATAGATTCTTGGTTGAAGGAGGCTATGGCGAAAGGGCTTCTTTTGTTCCAAGTATCTAAGTGTTGCCTCTGAAATATTGGCTTTCATATGGCAATGTCCATTTTAGTAGTTTTGC